ATGAAGTCTCAACATTGTGGTTACAGGGGCAAGACCCACAAAACCACACCAGTCAATACACCACCATGGAAGCAGGAAAATTTCACAAGACCTCACCCTTAGACGAAAAGCTACAGGCAGTCAGTCCATGGCTGCTGAGGGAGCGAGACATAGTTGTTGCTTTTTGTTTTTAGGGACCAGACCTCAATCCTAAGTAGTCTAAACATACACAAATAAAGCAAAACTAAGTGGGCTCAATAGGTTTGTGTGTGTGTGTGCACACAAGTGCGTGCATACACGTGTGTGTGTGTGTGTGTGTGTGTGTGCATGTGTGTGTATTAACCCAGAAATAATTATAGAAGAGGTCATGAATTTAAAGGTGAGATTGGGTGATAGGGGAGGAGTTGGAGGTGGGAGAGGGAGGAGTAGAAAGGATGCAAATGCTGTGTACTCATGCATGAAATCCTCAAGTAAGCAAAAATAAGGTTAAAGCTCCACACGATGGTGTGAATCCACCATCCCAGCCATCATGTGTTGATGTGGGACGTGGATATTAGAGTCATGCAGAAGTTCAGTGAGCAAGAGGCCTGGAATATACAGCATGGAAGGAAGCAAGAAGAGATCCTGTCTGAGCAAGTGAAAGAGAGAAGTGCCTGCAGAAGTTGTTCTCTTGGGTTGGAGACAGGGTTCAGTCATTAAAGTCTAAGTTTCACAACTGAAAGTGCTGGCCTCCGACCTCCACGTGAGCACCTTGTTACATGCTCAGCTCTCCCTCCCTTAGTCTCTCTCTATCTCATAGACACAAGTACAATAGGAGGAAAAACTTGGCTCCTCATAGATTTGTCCAGCATCCATTTCTAAAGCATCTCCAATAGTGAGTCTAATATGCAAGGAAGCTTAGAAATCACTGGGGCTGCCATTTCTAAACAAAATGCTGTCATCTGAGCTTTAGTTGGGGCCTATAACGTTTGAACACAAAGGGGCATTCTATGAAGGAAGTACATGACCTGAGCTGGAGAAATGCTTATGGGTCTGGTTGGTACCACATGATGGGATAGGTTCCTGGTTCCATGAAGGCATAGGATGCCAGCACTGTTTCTTAAATTATCTTTGTGTTGAACCAAAAGCAACTGGTTTTCAAGAAGAATAAAAGCCACTCTGCACCCTATGGTATGTGTCTCATGAACGCCTTTTCTTAGTGATTACGCTCATGCATGGAATGGCCAACTCCATACCACTGGGCTATTGTGTCTAAAGCTAAAAGAAAATAAAACTTGCAACCTTACAATGCCATACCTCTTTATGCCTGATTTACTCGACTTAGGCGTGATCCATGCTACAACCGCTATATTAAATGTTTTCTCTGTAGTCTTAGATTTTTAAACCCTTTGAGAAATCTGTCATGAGATTGGCCACACAATAGAAAAACTGGGAGGAGCAGACTCCCTACCCCACTCTTTTGTTAGCATGATTGCTTTAAATTAAGTCAAGTCCTAAATGAAAACCGCAGGGGACCTCTATCGCAGGCATCCTTCATAAGCCATGTGGGAGGCACTCTCAAAAAACACACAGAAACTTGCCTGGAAACTCTGACACCAGCAACATTTCTGGAGAGTTGAGTTGGGAGTGAGCTGTTAGCTCAAGGCTAGAGACATGTCTTCCTAAAATTGCCCCCCCTTTTTCTTTTTTAAAATACTGTTTAATTTCTAATTATTTGATAATTTCATACAAGTATATAATGAAGTATAGTGCTTTCTCCCCCTAATGCCCTGTCTTATCCCCCTTTGTTCTCCCACATAAATACTTCCTTACTACCCCCAAGTCATTTTATGTGTGTAACCAAATGAGTACAAACAGGGTTTCTGCATGAGCAAGAGTGGAAAGTTATTTACTGGAGAGTAGGCAACGAGTCTGTCACTGTGGAAAGTGACACCCCTTCCTTGAGCCATCACTGATTGCTAGGAGGCCCTTGGGGAGAGCCTGTCCTCATTAACCCTTCTCTCTTCCATCCTAATGTGTTGGCAGGCACGTCCTTTTTGAGATCTTGTCCAGGTAACCACAGGCTGTTGTGGGGTCGTGGGTGCTATTTCACAAAAGTCCTCCCTGACTCTGGCTCTTACAAACTTTCTTCCCTTTCTCCTGTGATTCCCCTCCCCCCAAGTTTTGAGGAAGTTGTGTAATACAGATGCCCAGTTAAGGCTGAGCATTCCATAGCCACTTAGCCTCTGCACTTTGTCCTCCTCTGTGTTCACCACTGCCCACTGAGAAAAAAATTCTCTGGTGAGGACTGGTATCTGCGGTAATCTATAAGTATAAAGACAGGTGTTTAGAATGTATTTTGATGGGTTCATTTAGAAAAGCAATAGTAGCAGAGACTATGACCTCCCTAGTCGTGGATTCTAGGCTGGGTTTACAATGTCAGGCATGTATTCCTTCCTGTGGAATGAGTTTTAAACTCAATTTTAAAAAGTGGTTGGCTGCTACTATAACATTCATGCCAACGTTGCATCAATGGATATATCTTGCCACGCTAGTTATTGCCGTAATTCATACTATTCATAGCAGGGTAAGACTGTCAATGACTTTTAGCACTTAGTATACTGTAGAGCACCTTCCAATGCCATGAAAACTAGTCATTTGAGAAGCAGTTTCTAAATTGGTTCCAGCTTTCTTTCTATATGGATTGTAACCAAAGTGTGCAGTGTCTTCTGCAATGGGATCTTATCATCATTGTGGTGGGTAAACAAGAGTTATGACAATAGCCTATATTGTTTGGAGGGGTGGCTCTGGAACATAAAATCTACAAACAAAAACTCTTTTTAAACATATAAGTTTTAAAATTAAGAATAATAGTAGGGTTATAAATATCTTTTTCAGACTTCCTTAGTGTTAGCATCCCCCAGCCCTCCTGTGCACTTTCCAGACTCCCTTAGTGTTAGCATCCCTCCCCAATCCTTCCTCTGCACTTTCCAGACTCCCTTAGTGTTAGCATCCCTCCCCAATCCTTCCTCTGCACTTTCCCATCCCACTCTCCACTTCTGCCTTCTCACTCCATTATGCCTCTTTCCGGCTCCATGCCACGTGTGTTCTACCGCCCATCCTCCCATAAAGCCTTTCTTACACCCTCCTCCCCAGTGCTCCTTCCCTAGCTTCCTGACTGTTCCACATCCTCCAGGTCAAGTTCATAAATCCAAAGATTCAAAGCTAGTATTCACATATGTGAAAGAACAAACAGTATTTTTCTATCTGAGTTGACTCATTTGGTATAATTGTGTCCAGTTCAATTCATTTACTTGAAAATTTTGTAATTTAATATTTATACAGACAAATGAAATTCCATTGTGTATTATGTGTGATGTTTTCATTGTCTATTCATCAACTGATGGGCATTAAGTTGATTTAATTTCCTAGTTATTCATATATGATGTCTGTAGTAGGCTATAGAACGTTCTTGATATGTGCTAGTGATACACCTTGGTCATATGGTAGATCTATGCTTAGCTCTCTTATGCTTCTTCACACTGGTTTTCATTATGATTTCATAAGTTTGCACTTTGACCAACAGTGAATAGGGGTTCCGCTTTTCCACTTTCTTTACATCATAGCTATCATTTGTTGCCAGCTAAAAAATCTTAGCTATTCTGATTGGAATAAGATGAAATATCGGAGTAGTTCTAATTTGCATTTCACTGCTGACTAAGAAGGATGAACACTTCTTAAAATTTTTCTTAACCCTTTTTATTACTTCATTTAAGAACATTATATTCAGTTCCAAAGCCTGTTTTTAATTCAGTCATTTATTTTATTGATACTTGAGATGTTTTTAATTCTTTGAATATTCTATACATTTAATCCTCTATAAGATGTATAATTAGCAAAGATTTTTCTCCCCTCTTAAGTCAATAGAGAATTTTACTTGTAGTACAAAAGTTTTTAAATTAATTTCATAAGGTCTCACTTGTTGATTATTGACCTTTCCCCAGTGTGATTGGGATCATTTTTAAAAAGTCCTTACCTGAGCTTACATCATGATGTATACTTCCTACTCTTCTAGAAATTTCTTCTAAAATTGATTTTTTTATTCCATTTAGAATAGATGGGGAGGGCATGGGAGAAAAGGAACAAGTTTTAATCTCCTACAAGTAGATAGCCAACTTTTCCAACATGATACTGTCTTTCTCTCCAATGAGTACTTTTAGCATCCATGTAAAATCAAGTGGTTGTAGGTATATGGATCCCCTACTCCGTTTCATTGATCTGTGTGTCCCTTTTTATAGCCATACTATGATGTTTTTATTACTAATGACACTGTAGTATAACTTGAAATCAGGTGTGATGACACCCCTAAAAATATTTTCATTGTTCAAGACTGTTTTGGCAATCTTGAATCTTTTATGCCTTCATACAAATTTTAAAGTCAGTTTTACAATTCTGTGAAAAACTTGCATTTGATTTGTTATGGGTATTTCACTGAATCTGTAGATTTCTTTTGAAAAGGGCATTTTTACATTCTTAATCTTGCCTATCAATCCACTAACATGTGAGATCTTTCTATTTTTTGGTGTCTTCTTCAATTTCTTTTTTTTTTTTTTTTGGTGTTTTAAAGTTTTCATTGCATAAGATTTTCACTTCTCTAGTTGAATTTATTCCAAGGTATTCTTGAGGCTATTCTGCATGGAATGTTTATTTGATACCTTTCTCTGTATATTTGTCTTCAGTATATAAGGAGGCTATTGATTTGACTGTATTGATTTTGTAACCTGTCACATTGCTGAAAGTATTTATCACCTCTGACCGTTTCCCATGGGAGTCTTTGGAATCCCTCATATAATTTTTTTTTTTTTTTTTGAAAAACCAACCCTCAAAAAAACCACTTTAATCACAAGCTAACAGCGCCAGGTGCAATGTCTGGGGACAGACTCTGGGTACAATGCTGTGTGGCAACCACACACTCACACGCGGCTCTGAGAAGGCCCCCAAGGGGGACTTACCTTCAGGGACTGAGCCAAAGGGGGGCCCCCCAGAATGGGGACCGGGACGCCCCATGGGGGAAGGCGCTACTTCTTGGCAAAAGAGATCTTCATGCCATTGTTCTGCGTGACCTTAAAGCCTTGCAGGGCATCTCGTGCTGCCCCAGCCTGCACTTCGTTGTCAAAATCCACAAAGGCAATGTCGTGCCGCCCGGGGACCAGACGCACCTCCTTGAAGCCAGGGAACTGGTTGAAAAGCATAGACAACATGAGCTCATTGGTCTCCTCAGGCAGGTTGGTGAGGAACAGGATGTGATTGGGTGGATTCTCGGAGAGAGGCTGGGCAGGCGGCATCTGTCCAGGCATGAGCTGCTGCGGGGGCATGGCCCCAAGGGGGATTTGGCCAGGAGCAAGGCCCGGTGGCGGGATCATGCCAGGTGGTGGCATGTAAGGAGGCTGGCCTGGCATATGGTGCATGATGCGGGGAGCCTCAGTCATGGGCGGCATACTCGGTACAGGCTGAACAGCGCCCACCACGGGGGCAGCTGCCCCACCCTGAACAGCCTTTTTGGCAGCTGGTGTCTCCTGGCTTTTGGGCTTCCTCTTCTCTCGTTTGCGGTCCCTTTCCACAAAGGTGCCCTTCATCTTGGCAATGATGTCCGAGTCAGTCTTGCCATACTGGATGCGCATGGGCTTGTCGTAGAAGGGGAACCCCTGCATGGAACGCAGGGCATTAGTGGCGCTGCTGACCTCCTTGAAGATGACAAAGGCCTGGCCCCTCATCTTCAGGCTCCGAGACACCAGAATATCCAGGATCTGGCCAAACTGGGAGAAGATGGCATACAGGGACTTCTTGAGCTCATCCTTCTTGATCTTCTCATTGAGATTGTTGATATAAATAGTGTGGTTGGGACGGGTCTCAGGAACTGCCATGGTGGGAGATGCTCACGGCTGAGCCGCCGCGCCTGCCAATGAAAGGAACACTTGGGTTCCCGCCTTAGTGATAATCCTCCTCCCTCATATAATTCTATCATCTGCAAATAAGGATACTTTGAATTCTTCCTTTCTTTTTTATATTAATTTTATTTCCATATCTTTTTCTTATTGTTCCAGTAAAATTTCAAGTACTACATTAAATAGAAAAGGCAAGAGTATATACTCTTATCTTGAAAGGTGCATGTGTGTGTGTGCGCATGTGTGTGTGTGTGTGTGTGTGTGATTTTGTTGATTTTGTAGTGTTTGGATTTTTTTGTCCTCTTTTTTTATATATATAACAAATGCCTTAGTATCTCTGTTTTTTTTTTTTCTCTCCTTTAGCCTCCTGGGTCCAATAATCAGTCTTCTGTATGGCTGGCTTAGTAGTCACAAATTCCTTTAGCCTGTTATTTACTATGTTGTTTTTCTTTCACCTTTAATTGTGATGGATAGTTTTGCCGGGTATAGTAAATTAGTTTGGCAGTTGTAGTCTTTCAGAATTTGAAATAAATCATTAAAAGACCATCTTGCTTTAAAGATTTTGATTGAGAATCCAGTAGATATTCTGATGGGTCTGCCTTTAAATGTGACTTGGTCTTTCTATCTTGCAGCTTTCAACATTCTTTCTTCCATAAGTTCAGTATTTTGACTATACTATGTCATGAGGAGTTTCTTTCCTGGTTCTATGAGTCTGATGTTCCATGCAGCCCTTATATCTGAATGGGTTTCAATTTCCTTGTCTTTGGGAGGTGTTTGTAGTGTTCAGGAGAGACTTGATTGCCATACAGTTATGGTTCTATTTTCCTTTGCTAGATTAACGTTCCAAGTACCAAGCGCTATCTCAACTCCACCCTGTGGGTTGAATGCTGTCTTCAGCAACTGTCACTACTCAATGTTTAATCCGCTCTGGTAACTGAATAGCAGGTGACCACAAAAAAGACACTTGTTTTAGGAAATAAGTGGGCCCTAGGTACACAAATATGTTTGTTATTGGGTATAAGACTACAACAAGACTATGACTGTTATCAAATTGACATATGGGAAGTAGAAGAGGGAGGCATACAGAAGAGCAGGAAGAACAGAAAAGGAAAGAAATGAGAGGGTTAAGAGTGGACTAAGAAGAAGAGGGTAAAATTATGTACTCCAATGTCATAACCCAGCTCAGCTTCTGCACTGTAAGAATTGTAACAGTAGTAGGAAGGAATAAGTAAGCCAGTTGGCCTTTGTTAACTTGGCACAAGCCTTTTCTGTAAGCAGAAGAAAACTGAGACAAATACTGCTGCCCAACTTCAGCTGCCACAACCCACAGCCACTAACCTCTGTTCCGAGCTGAAAGGCACTCCTCAGAGCTCTGCGTAGATCCTGCTGTTTCCAGTCTCCTCATCGGGGAGCTGATAATGGTTCCAGCAGCACTGGCCAGGGACCCCTTCTCTAAAACCCCTAACATAACTTTTGTAGATTTCCTAGGAGGCGTCTTATGCCCAGTTTGCAGTCAACTGCCAGAGTCCCTCGGGTTCTGCAACTATGCTGGTTTCAGTCTCAACGACTCCAGATCTCAGGGGGACAGGAAGTTCTCTTAGGGTGTTGACCAAGGGCTCCTGCGCACTAAAAATGCAGCTGAGAGTGATGGAATATTTCTTTTCCTTTAACTTTGCTTGCTCTGACAAGGCTTTTAGGTCACTGTCTTACCTGAAAGTCCCCTCCACTCATTTCTTTCCTGACGAGAATTTTTTCCAAAACGCTATAGCCATAAAATTTACATAGTTGTTCAATTTTTATGAGTTAAGCATTTTCTCTCCCGCCTGTTGTGTTTCTGTGCAGTTGTGAGCATCTATCTTGTTTCCTTCTGCTTCTGTACAGATGATCAAAGCCCACACATACACAATACACACTTTTCCCAGAGGGGACGGTGATTAGGGAGATCTTTATGTGATACAGGACCGCCATACATTTTCCTAACCACCAACGATAAAATTAATAAATGCAACAGTCACTCATTCTATGTAGAGCAGGGCTTACTGCCGGTGTCCTTCACAGGCAGATGCCAGTAGCATACGAAGTGAAACTCTGGGGCCAGAGATGGTGCTTTGTGCTTAAATGTATTTGTTTAATCCTCCCCACAAATACGTTCTTCTCTTTTTCACAAATAAAGAAACTGGATTTATAGCAGCTGAGTCTCTTGATGAAGGACACAAAGCCAGTACTCAGTACACCCCAAGAATAGAGCCCTACTTTATTTTACCCCAAAGCCCACTAGCTCTCAGTGTCAACTCTGAATCCCACACTGAAACAAAGGCTATTTAAAATAAATGAAGGTAAAAGCAAATTAGCATTTTTGGTCCCAATTCCTCCCATTTTCCCCTACAAAGATGCTGGAGTCCTGGGAGATAAGGAGCAAAAATTAAACATTTCATGTGGCACAGTATCCCCCGACTCTTGCTATAATCATTTTGGATAGGATCATTATTTGCTGACTCATACATGGTGGAATGTTTGACACCCTCTAGATGCCAGCACCCCCTCCTAAATTATGGCAACTAGATTCTGTGAAGACTGTCAAATGTCCTTTTAGCAGTAAAAATTATCCCCAGTTGAGAACCAATAATGTGGACCAGAGGGAGACAGGAGCCTTGGCATTGCACAAAGGCATAGCAGCTCTACCCTTCCATTGCCAACAGCTCCCAGTGAGAAAGGAGAGCCAGGACCGAGGAGCTGGATTCAGACAGTAAACCACTTGAGGAGCCAAATTTGAAGCAGGACCCACATTAAAAGGCTGGTGGGTGGCAGCACACACTTGTAATCCCATTATCAGGGAGACAGAGAAAGACAGATTCCAGGGGCTCTCTGGCCAGCCAGACAAGCCTGACTAGTCAGCTCCAGGCAAATGAAAGACCCTTGGAGTGGGACAATTCTGTATTCTGTCAATTATGTTTTAAATAAACACTGATTGGCTAGTAGCTAGGCAGGAACAACCAGATAAGAAGTGAGGTGGGGCAAGGAGAACAGGAGAATTCTAGGAAGGAGGAAGCCCATTCCTCTCCAGTCCTGTCCAGACACTGAAGAAGCAGGATATGAGCTGCCCCGCTGAAAAAGGTACTGAGCCATGTGGCTAACACAGATAAGAATAATGGGTTAATATAAGTTATAAGAGCTAATACGAAACCTGAGCTAATGGGCCAATCAGTTTATAACTTATGGAGACTTCTGTGTGATTCTTTGGGACCTAACGACTGTGGGAACTAGGCAGGACAGAAACCCAAACAAGCAGGCCCGTATCAAAAAAAAACAGTGGAGACCAAAAGACAGCTCAGAGGATAAAAATGCTTGCTGTGCAAGCCTGGTGGATGACCTGAGTTTGATTTCAGGAACATATTGTAAAGGTGGAAGAGACAACCAACTCCACAAAATGTCCTCTAACCCCTTCATGTACATTATGGTGAACACACACACACACACAGGTTTTTTTTTTTATTTGGATAATGCTTTTATTTTAACAAACATGGAGAAATCATTTTTTATCACTCTGGAAATATGTAGCATATTAAAATAACACATTGTTGAATAGGATTTCATGTATGAATCTCTATGCATTATCTCTTTTTTGATGTTTATTGAGCTCTACATTTTTCTCTGTTCCCCTCCCTGCCTCTCCCTCTCCCCCTTTCAACCCTCCCCCAAAGTCCCCATACTCCCAATTTATTCAGGAGATTTTGTCTTTTTCTACTTTCTACTTCCCATGTAGATTAGATCTATGTAGGTCTCTCTTAGTGTCCTCATTGTTGTCTAAGTTCTCTGGGATTGTGGTTTGCAGGCTGGGTCTCTTTGCTTTATGTTTCAAAACCACTGATGAGTGAGGACATGTGATAATTGTCTTTCTGTGTCTTGGTTACCTCACTCAAAATAATGTTTTCTAGTTCCATCCATTTTCCCTGCAAAATTCAGGATGTCATTTTTTTCTGCTGTGTAGTACTCCATTGTGTAAATGTAACACATTTTCCTTATCTATTCTTTGGTCAAGGGACATTTAGGTTGTTTCCAAGTTCTGGCTATGACAAAGCTGCTATGAACATAGTTGAGCACATGTCTTTGTGGCACGTTTGAGCATCCTTTGAATATATACCCAAAAGTGGTATTACTGGGTCTTGAGAAAGGTTGTTTCCTAATTTTCTGAGAAATTGCCACACTGACATCCAAAGGGATTATACCAACTTGCATTCCCACCAGCAATGCAGGAGTGTTCCCTTTTCCCCACAACCTCTCAGCATAAGTTGTCATCAGTGTTTTTGATTTTGGCCATTCTTACAGGTGTAAGATGGAATCTCAGAGTTGTTTTGATTTTCATTTCTCTGATGACTAAGGATGTTGAACATTTCCTTAAGTGTCTTCCAGCCACTTTAGATTCCTCTGTTGAGAGTTCTCTGTTTAAGTCTGTATTCCATTTTTTTTGGTTTTTTTTTATTTATTTATTAAAGATTTCTGTCTCTTCCCCACCGCCGCCTCCCCTTTCCCTCCCCCTCCCCCAAACAAGTCCCCCTCCCTCCTCAGCCCAAAGAGCAATCAGGGTTCTCTGCCCTGTGGGAAGTCCAAGGACCACCCACCTCCATCCAGGTCTAGTAAGGTGAGCATCCAAACTGCCTAGGCTCCCACAAAGCCAATCAAAAAGAGGAACATGGGATGTACTCACTCATATTTGGTTTCTAGCCATAAATAAAGGACATTGAGCCTATGATTCGGGTTCTTAGAGAAGCTGTATTCCATTTTTTTATTGGATTATGTGTTCTGTTGGTGTCTGAGTTCTTGAGTTGTTTGTATATTTTGGAGATCAGATCTCTGTCTGATGTGGGGTTAGAGAAGATCTTTTCCCATTCTGTAGGCTGTTGTTTTGTCTTGTTGACCGTGTCCTGTGCTTTACAGAAGCTTTTTAGTTTCAGGAGGTCCTATTTATTAATTGTTTCTCTCAGCACACACACAGT